ACAGAGATGTTTTTGAAGGCAAGAATTATGCTACGGACAGCTGACTTGTCTAGAGCCTAGATGGCCATCCCCAATGGAACAAGGACACAAAGAAAGTAAGACCAAGAGCTGGAGGAAATGAATTCCCATTTATATAAATATCCTACGAAGTTAAAATTGCAGTTCATCTCACCCATACTTTTTAGCCAACCCATTTAAAAGATTTGGCCCCACATGATACATTCTTTTTTTTTTGCTTTTCTACTCCAACTAAATTTATTTTCATTCAACTGGTTGAGTTAAATTCAGTATCCATTGATAATCAGATGAAACAATGAGCTGATAAGAAAATTTCAGCTAAAGACAGACTTCACCTAGGATGTTGTTGTTAAGAAAAATTGTAAACGAAAGGAGACAAAGTAGCATGGTAACATACATGCGTGCATAAAAGAAATCACCTCATAGCCTAGTAAATGTCCATTGCTCAATTTCCAAGGAATGGTGTTCCATGAAACTTCAATTTCTGAGGAAGATAGGCTATTTGCAGAGACATGAGATGGGGCTACTGTAGGCTCTGTTTGGAAACAAAAATTGAAATACAATTATAATTTCAGCAGTTAATTTTAAATCTATTGAAGTTCTTATTTTAAAAAAGCATTTTCACATATTTGAAAAGTTTATAAAATACTCTGTAAAAATATTTGTAAATGTGCACCATGTCTTGAAAATATAGACAATGGTCCATTTCCTTGTTTTAGGAATAGACGGCCTCATAGCCACAGCCTTTCCTGGCTAAACGCTGCAGCTCCCTGCACTTTCCTCTCTTGTGCCTTTCTTCCCTTCTTTCCCTTTGTTCTGTCCACCCTGTCTTTATTTCCCTCCCCTTCATCCCACACCTGCTGCTTGGGAACTCCTATGCCCACAATGCTACTTAGGTTTTTTGTCTTGCCAAATAAAGGTCAAGATCAAGGTAAAGTTCATCTACTCAATAAGCACTGAGGGAGGGCCTTCTAAAAGCCAGGCTCACAGAAGGAAAAAACATAAAGATGACGATGGCATCCTCTTTTGAAGGAGTGGACAGACATGCACATAGCTTATTACAAGTAAGAAGGTCCCCTAC